CCCCACCTGCCCACATATTTCAAGTCAAATTGCACTACAGTGTAACAATCTTGCAACTAATCACTGGTAACACTCCAATAATGTTTTCCCGGCAGTCGGTATATTATTCCGGTAACAACCCATAATTGGGAGACATTTTGGGGAAATATCACGAAGCACCAGAAAAACTTGTGTCGTTTTGTAAACATTTTTTGTATAGAGCTAAACAAACTAATAGCAGCAACCATCCATCCCCTTCATCGATCCAATTCATCAAGACACTGAGCATTGGCAAAGCTAGCGCTCTCCATTTTCTGGGGGAGCAGAGATCTTCTGGATTGGCCACGGTGCTCCTGCCATTACAGACTCGATATCCCTTATCTCTCGTGGTACCTTTGTCATGTTCACACAGCCATTGCAACTAACATACTGGAAACATTCAAAAAGCGCAGAATATAAGGATACAGAAAAGTATGGCAGGAAAAAGAATTGAAGCCTAAGCTGGAACCTCCAACAAAAGACGGAAAAAAAAATGCACGTGAAAAGTAATATGGCCAACCTACATACACACCATATCTATGAAGATTCAGTTAATGCAGCCAATATAGGAAAAGAGTTGATGAATAAGCAAATATTCAAAAGTGCAACATAAGATCATTTAGATAACAAAAAGGCTGACTAATACAATCTAACCCTGATGATCTTCAAATGCCTCCTCAGGAAAAATGTGTGACACTACAGATTCATCTCCATAAGAGAAGATAAGAATATGATAAGATAAACGATAAGCAAGTCATTGAGGAAGAAAGGGGAAAAAAGATGTATATGAACTAAAACCGCTGATTCTTCTCTCATACAGTTCACCACAAGATGGTAATGTTAAAGTTTATTCCCAGCAATTCCAAGGCTCATGAGTAAACATCCATTCAAACATAATGAGTGTCCTAATATGAGGATAAAAACTCATTCACAAGATAGACATAAGACGAGACAGACTGTATGGAGCCAAATAGTTTTCAACTGAGAAATTATCTTATTATATGTTGGAGATATAGCAGTTTAGTTTATTAGGATTTATTAAGTTTTCCCTTTTTTACCGTTTTACCTTTTTATCCTTATTGTAACTTTTATTGGCTATATATACGGGGCTCTACACTTAGTTTGCATCCTTTTTACTCACATTAATTCCAAGTTGGTATCAGAATCACAAACCTAACCCTAACCCTACCCTAGCCCCTCCTCCACGTTGCAGCCACCGGCGGCCACACTGCCGCCGACTGCCCAAACCACCGACAACAAACACAACAAACATCAAACCCACATACCAGCGACAGCCTGCAACAGAGCCACTGCCTCACAGTCCTAGAAGCCACCAACTGCCTACCAGCAACACAACCACCAACAGCCAACACCGATTGCCTCTAGCTACTCCACCAACAGCACAACGTCGGGTTGCTGTCCACTCCATTGGCCTACCAGCGAACAACTGCCCACAAACCCACGGAACATAGCCACCGAACAACCGAAACATATAGAGGACTGCTTCATCCCAGTTCCACCGACTTCACAAACCCACTGCCCAGACCCATAAACAAATACCCCTGACAACTAAGCAGCCCCACCGACAGACAATACGCACTCCAGACCAGCCGACTGCCCAAGACAATACCCACCAAGACCAACTGCCTACCCAGCCAAAAAACACGTACTCCTATACACCGAGCAAACATTAAACTCTACACCCAGCAAAACAAACCAAACAGCCCACTGTCCAGTCCAGCCCAAACCCAACACAGTACTCACCCCAGCGAACTAGCTGGGTCGCGCTCTTCGTCATAGTTTCGTGTTTTGCCTTTGTGTGCCTGATTATTTGGGACCGTAGGACCTTTTAAGAGGGGTTGAATCCTCTTCTCAATTGATATGCTCTTGATACAGTAGATCACTTATTTATATTTATTAGACTTCTGAGCATCGTGACTTGATTATTTGGGAGCTTTCTGGACCTTCTTTATCTGTCGCTACTGTTCGACTAGAGGTATATTGTTCTCCCTTATTTTGTCCATCTATTTATCTTAGAGTTATTTTTCTATCATGAGTGTCCTAGTATTATTGATGATATGACTACTACTGAGGGAGTTGAGATCCCTACAGTTGAGACATTTGTTAGTACTTTCACTGGGTATAGGGGTCGATAGCGCTCGGCCCAACGCCGTCAGGGTACCCCACATCAGCGTAGATATGGGAATTCTCGTCAGTGTGATTATTGTAGCCGACTAGGACATCTCAAGGCTACTTGTTGGAAGCTCCATCCGGAGCTTAAACCGCCTCATCGCAACCGTACTGCTGCCATTGCTAAGGCACCACTACCTACAGTCATTGCTCCTGCTACTTCCTCCTCCTTGGCAGAGTGATATGGATGCTATCACTTCTCGCTTGAATATACTTATGTCAGCCTTGACTTCTCAAGGTTCGACTACTACTGCTGCCATTACTACAGGTATACCTCATGTCTTTCATACTTGTGCCAGTTCGTCTCCTCTTTGGATGCTGGACTCGGGTGCTAATGGTCATATGACAGGTGAGGCCCATCATTTCACATCTTTTGACGAGCAATTACATACTCACGTTCAGTTAGCAGATGGTACACATGCCCCTATTGTTAGTAGGGGTACAGTCCGCCTCCCAGATAGCTTTACATTACGTTCGGTGTTCCATGCGCCAAAGCTGACCATGAATCTATTATCTGTACATCAGTTAGCCAGAGATTTTCACTGTGCAGTTGTGTTCTTATCTGATTCGTGTTATTTGCAGGACCTGAGTACCAGGAGGATTATTATCAGGAGACATGAGAAAGATGGATTGTATTATTTAGGCAATCCACCATACAATCCACCTTCCGTTTCACCAGTTTCTCCACCTCCATCACCTGTTTTGTCTTTATCTATTCTTAGCTTACATGCTAGTATTTTACCTAATACTTATTGTTATGATTTTTCATCACAAAATGTTCAGTTGTGGCATGACTGTTTTAGACATACAAATTTTAAATATTTATGTATGTTATTTCCTACTTTGAGCAAAGCTTGTGTTAGTGGTAAACTTGACTGTGTTATATGTTCCCTATCCAAACATGTTCGGACCAGTTATATTCCTCGCATACACCAATCACCCAAACCATTTGACCTAATACACTCGGATATTTGGGGACCCTCTCCTGTTACTGCTCTGTCAGGTACCCGATACTATATGACATTATAGATGACCATACCCGTTGTACTTGGGTTTACCTTTTGCATAGGAAATCTGATGTACTCTCTGTCATTACTCCATTTCTTCAGATGATTAAAACACAGTTCGATGTCATTGTTTGTGCTCTTCGTTCGAATAATGCCAAAGAATATGTGTCTGATGCCTTAGTGACTCACCTTTCTTTTCAGGATATCCTTCAGCAGCTCACTTGTCCATATATTCCTGAACAAAATGGAGTTGCTGAAAGGAAAAATAGGAGTCTGATAGGGATGGTATGTTGTATGCTTAGAGGTATGGGGGTACCAAAATCTTATTGATATTTTGCTATTTTAACTTCTACCTTTTTGTGCAATCGTACAACGAGTCGTGGTCTTCAACATAGGGCTCCCTTACAGGTCTTATTTCCTGAGCGGATACTTTTTCCGCTCCCCCCTCGTGTTTTTGGCTGCACATGTTTTGTTCAGGATCGGTCTCCTACTTAGCATAAGCTTGATGATAAAACGATTCGTTGTGTCTTTGTGGATTATTGTCATCAGTCTAAAGGGTATCGGTGTTATGATCCTGTTAGGCGCCGTATGTATCACAGTTTAGATATTACCTTCCTTGAGCATATTCCTTATTTTCTTCCAGTCCTGTCGGGTTTCTTGGTAGGTGGTCTGGACTGGGTGGTTTTGCTAGGTATGGGCTGGGTGGCCTGGACAGTTGGTGGAGTTTATATGGTCTAGGACTGGTTTGGGTTTTCTGTTGGGGCAGTGGGCTGGTCTGGGTTTTAGATTGCAGGTGGTATGTGGGCAGTCGGTAGAGTTTGTTTGGTTGTCGTTGGTTTGGTGTATAAAGGTTAGCAGTGGACTGGTTTTGGTTTGGTAGACTGTCGGTGCTTACTTGGTTTGATGTTCAGAGTATATCACTAAGTATGTCGGTCGGTGGGTTTTGCTGCTTGACTGGTTTTGGTTTGGCAAACTGTCGGTGCTTGCTTGGTTTGATGGTCAGAGTATATTACTAAGTATGTCGGTCGGTGGGTTTTGCTGTTATATGTCGCTGGTTGGACTGGTATTTTTGGGTGGTATATGTCGTTGGCAGTGGTATATGTCGGTCGGTGTTATGGGTCTGGCGGTGGCTGTGGAGTTTATTGGGGGACTGGTATGGGGTGGACTGGTTTATCACTGGATTGCTGTCGGAGTTGGGTGAGCAGCGACTGGCTTGTTTTGTTGGTTGTGATGATTGGCGAAGGTTAGGTTTAGGGTAAGGGTTGGTGGCTCTGATACCAACTTGAAATATTTGGAAGAGAGAAAAAGGGATACAAACTAAGTGTAGAGCCCCGTATATAGAGCCAATGAAAGTTACAATAAGGATAAAAAGGTAAAAAGAGAAAACTTAATAAACTCTAATAAACTAGACTGCTGCTATATCTCCAACATTTACAAAGGTTTTTGCATGAAAAATGCATAAACATCTCCATGAGAAGTCATTTAAAAGTTGTGGATCACTATTTAGAAACCCTAAATTGACCCAGAGGGAGGTTGAATAGATCCTAGAAAGCATGGATATGGACACGGGATGCAATTATAATACAATACGAATACAGTGATACAGAAAAACCTAAAAAATTAGGATACGTATATGCCTAGGATACATCTATAATAAAAAAAATTTAATTTTTTTTGCTAAACAACTTGATGATTATAATTTATAATAAATTCTCTAACAATAATGTGGAAATTCAATAATTTTTACTTTTAAGAAAGCATTGATCATCTCATAATGGTATATATTCAAAAAGTGAACGTGACTAATTAAAGAACTTACACAAAGTTTTAATTAGTTAGTTTAATTAGAAAATCTTATTGCCAAGATATATGGTGTAAGTAACTTATTTTATGCTCTTTTGACCAATAATAGTAGATAATACTTATAAAATACACGTGTCTTCAACGTCGTATAGATTTTTCTTTGTGTTGCATTACATGTGAACTCGAGAGGAAAAACAAAGATTAACAATAAAAATTACATGTTGATTTGCATATGTATTTTGAATACATACCGGTGAAGTATCCAAATACTTATAATTATTGGATACGTGTGTATACGATACTATCTAGTAAGTATTGTATCCAATAAGGTATTCTTAATGGATCCATCGACCTTAACAAAGTATTCACATTTCATAGAATATATGCAGAATCAAAACATATTAACACCTTATGCAATCAAAATGCCTTCAACCAATAAACAATTTAATTCACAAGACAAATAATAAAAGAGGAAATGATAAGATATAAGCATTTCATAGTTTCATCAAGACATGATAAGATTTAGTTATATAATGCCTTTTCTGCTGTGAGATTGGTGATGAACATAAACTTTTGCAAATATTGAAGTTCAAGGAAAGCAAAAATTATCAAGGTTTAGATGTGATAAATAAAGTTCAGCAACTGCAGTACCACATCACTTTCAATTCGGACTCCACCGAAGCCTCTAAATCTGATAATCTCTTCACGATCAAAAAACTTTGAAGTTTTTGAACTTTCCATTGCCGGGACCAACAAAGCATCAATGAAGTAGCATCCAGGCTCCACAGTTATAACCTGCAGTACAAGCCCCGATGTCATCATACTTTTGTATTTTTTCAGAGTAGGGTTAGTAAGAGAAAAATCAAATGGCTACAGTTTTGATACATTGTCATAAAGAATATCTTCATGCAGAAATTTAAGAAAAATAATTATATTAAATTTGACCCAGATAACGTGGCAAAACTAGTTTGCTGTGTTCACTTAGATTTTACCTCTGAATGCACAGACAGGATCCCATAAGCATAGGTTATTGTTCTTTCTCATCCAATGTCAAAAACTAGAGGATGATGCCAGAGAGACAAAACCATGCGCATTTAGTACCCAAAGACATTTTAGAAAGAAAAAAATCGATTAAATAAGTATGAAATGACAGATTTGCACATAAGAGTTCTAGTATTTCCATAGTTTGCACACAAGTGTGTTCTAGTAGGAAAGTAGGAGGTGTGGTCTCTCATATGCAGCACATTCTAGTCCCATGTTCACCAACATAAAATTATTTCCCTGTTTGCTTCAATCCACATACAAAACTAATAATAACCTACAGTTGAGATTCTGTTTGAATCGATGAGTTTAGGACCAGACATGTTTAAGACTAAATGAAAAATGCCTGTAAGGATAAAAGAGAAATTAATAATTATAGGTCTGATATATCCGCAAGCCATATCAAATATGCATAATATAAATTACAGACAGTGAACTGGATTCAAGCTTAGTCAAAAATATAATCCCCCAGTTAGGGGCAAAGCCAGGATTTGGACGTGGAATTTACAAAAGCGGAAATGATGCAACATAAACTTCATGGGACTAATAGTTTAGGTGGGCAAGTCAAAGGTTTGAATAATTATTTCCTAAACTAAAGTAGCCAAAAAATAATATCAGGAAGTCAGGCGGGACCATGGCCACTTTGGTCTCTATACAGCCTAGTCATGTTCCCAATGTATTCTAGAAAGAAAGATTAGAACAACTTGACTCTAAAAGAGTAAAATATTTAACAGGAGCCATGAATCTTCCAATTTTTACCTCTGGTTCTCCATGAGAACCTACACATGCTATGTAAATAAACTTCGAATAGTGACAACAGCAGCATCAAAGAATAGGGCATATGGTTCTATATAACAAAACATAACCGGTCATATGAAGAAGAGCGCATTCCTTTAGTAGTAAAAAAAACGATTACAGACCATTCCCTCCAGGAGCTCTCTACTTGTGCGCAAAGACCTTAATCCAGGCTCTGTGGGTCTCTCAGCTCCCTGCATATCAGGTCAGTTATTAATTCGATTAATAACTTGCAACAGTTAACATTTCTGACTGCACGTTCATATCAAAAGTAAATGGAAAAATGCATAGAAAATTTAGTCATGAAAACCTTCAAGTAACCCCCAGGATCATGAGTATCGATTCCCAATAAGTGTCCAAGGCCATGCGGCATGAAAATAGAACCCATTCGTTCAACCATCATATCATCAACATCGCTGATATAATAAACAAGCCAATAAATATGTAAGTATGGAATTAGTTCTTTCATATCTCAGAGACAAGTTGCATGTAAAGAAGTATAGCTCTGAGAAAATAGAAGATACCCAACCAAGAGGCACCCTTTCTTCAATGACTCTAGAATAGTTTTCTCCGCCAATCTAAAAGGAAAAGAAAGACACGCATTAGGAAAACATGCATATCTGATAATAAAAATTATGTTGTCTTAACAAAGCAGTTAAGGGTATTAGTAAACTATTTTTGGATCTGGCGAAATGCTTTAGTATTTCTATTAAAACACAAAATCTTCCTGGTGTGTCAACTGTCACATCACTTTCACTATATAAATACTTGCAATTATGAACACCATGCATTCCACATGCTATGTACTCATGTTGAAACTTGCAAAACATCTCTCTCAAGGTCCCAAACTACCTTCCTGAATCACCATTGAGCTATTTTGTCAACCAAAAGTTATTTTTTATGGATATTAAGTCAAACTAAAAGTAGAGTTGATATAGTTCTCTTTTATTTTTCATATGCCACGTGCATTTTTAGTTTTGTTCTGTATTGTTGAATCCACATCAGCCATATGGCTTTGAATTTTGTTCTTCATCCTTGTAGTTATCCATGGAGGACACTATTTCCTTCCTACTTTTGTATCTTTCGCATTTGCTTATTGAAAGAAACATAAAAATTATCTTTTGGCCTTTTCTTAAAACTCTTTTTACCTTTTCCTATAAAAATTATCATTCTCCACACGGTCATACCGTCTAGTTTATCACAGGCCTTCAACTCAACTGAACAATTATGGCCTGTCAATCTATGGGAAGACTCCTATCAAATAACTAGTTTTCAAAAGCATTAAGGAATATATATGAAAATCTGAAATTCAATGGAACTTTTTCGTAATCCAATCTTACTTGTGCATATCCACCCAGCTTACTCCGGGTCTCATAGCAGATATAACAGCATTTTGAGCATCAAGGACAGCCTGCAAAATGAAGTGATAAAAATAATGGTCTGGGAATGGGACCTTAGGCCCCAACTAGCATGCACGTGTATGTACCGACAGCACACACATACACAAAGAGGCAATTTGTCGAAAGTATATTTGCATAGAAACTAAAGAGTTCTTACAGGTTAAAGAAATCCTAAACCAAAATAATTAAATCAATCTACAATATTAGAAGAAACACACTTACATTATATACAAGGCTTTGATCACTTGTAAATTTCCCATTCACCTGCATAGAGAATTGGATAAAAATATAACTCATAATCCTAGAAAAAGAGGAAAGAAAAATTATGGAACTCAGTAGCATTAAGTAATAGACGAAAGTATACCATGAATGATGCATGCTATAAATGAGTCCAAAGGGTTCTAATAGTGATCTGTACCATTAGGTACTGCATTGTAAACTGAAGGCAAAATACAAACCTCAAAACTTCAAAATAAACAATAAACAAACTTGTCTCCAAGTCCTCACCATGATGACTTTTCTACTTCAGCAAAAAATCTAACACTTCAGAGAATTCTCCAACAAATATCATTGCTTGAGATTGCACAAAATGCTTTAAATTTTGCAATCAATTCAATTTTGCATGGAATCAGAGATGAAGTTCAAAATAATCCAAGTTAAGTGGTAAGAGTCAGCACAAGCCTTCTGGTCAAGCTGAAAATTATCAAAAACTCATAGAAACAGCAAGACCCCAAACAACCCCCCCCCCCCCCCCCAACCACCACCACACACACACAAAAAAAAAAAAACCTAAAGAAGCAAGAAGTTTTCTCTATCTTTATATTATGATCTAAAACGATTTGAAAGTATAAATTGCGATGAGAGATTATATGGTAGTGACAAAATAAATCATTGTCCAACCCTCCATATATTTCAACAAAGCAATGCAAGCACCAATGCAATATTCCTCATAAAATTGAAGCACTCTAGATTCTGAAAAGGCACCACCTTCAACTTGTAGCTTTTCCTCTCCTGACACAAGTTCATCTCTAAATTTCTTGTGCCAACCATGACCCTTAGGTGATAGTGACGTGATACCCATCATTCTTGCTCTTCTGATACAAAGTTCCCCCCCTCCCTCCCCCAACCCAATATAATGAAAGGGAATCAAGATTGAGTACTTTGAGCTCTTCTTCCCTTCTCCCTCATTCCTGTTCATAGTTTTAACAAAAATTTCTTCTGTTCTTTCCAAAATGTGCTTTGTTAGAAAAGTGTGTTAGTTTTTATACGTATCATGGTGGAAGCCATTTTGTACTTTGATAATTGAGTCAGTACTAGAATACCATTGTGAAGGAGGGATCCATAATAACTTTCTCTTCCAGCTGCACAATCTCTCTTTCTCCTTTCCTCTCTTCTCTTTTTCTTTCTTTCTTTCATACCTTCCATGCACTAAAAATCAACTTGCTTATCCTTAACCCAAAATCTATGGACTTAAGCATCTCCTCATGGTGCCAACAATAATCTCTATTATTAATCCATCATAAACACAGACACAAAAACTTGAAATATTTAGAAGAGAGAAAAGGGATACAAACTAAGTGTAGAGCCCCCATATATATAGTCAATAAAAGTTACAATAAGGATAAAAAGGTAAAAAGGAAAAACTTAATTAACCCTAATAAACTAAGCTGCTATATTTACAACACTCTCCCTCAAGCTAGGCGCAAAAATGTCAATTAAGTCAAGCTTGACAGTTGAGTCCCGAAGAATGTATAGAGTGACAGATTTGGTGAAAACATCTACAACCTGATCACTAGTCCCCACAAACGATGGAATGACAATACCACTGTTAACCTTCTCCCGAAGAAAGTGAACATCGATCTCTATATGTTTCGTCCTCTCGTGTAATACAGAGTCAGAAGCAAGCTGAATAGCAGATCAATTATCACAATATAATGTAAATGAAGAAGTCACTGGAAGTCCCAACTCGCCAAGAATCGATCGTAGCCAGATAATCTCACATGTGTCAAGTGCCAGTGCCCGATACTCTGCCTCTACTGACAAGCGAGAGACAACTGACTGCTTCTTGCTCTTCCAAGAGATAAGATGAGTCTCTCAAAAAGCACAGAAACCCGTAGTAGATCAACCGTCACATGCTTCCCTATAATCTGAATCTGAATAACAGGCTAGAGAACCAATTTGAGATCCTGATGCATAGAACAACTCAAGTTCAGGACAAGACTTGAGGTACCAAAGAATATAATAAACTATATCAAGATGAGGCTGACATGGTCTGTGCATGAACTGATTAACTCAGCTGACAGTGAATGAAATGTCTGGCCTAGTGTTGGCTAGGTAGATAAGTCTATCTACCAACCTCTGATAGACAGTCGGATTTCCTAACTCCTCACCTTCAGCTGTAGGCTTCAGGTTTAAAATCATGGGTGATGATGCCGGTTTGTACCCCAACATCCTAGTGTCTGAGAGAAGGTCCAGAACATACTTTCTCTGAGAAAGAACAATACCTCTGCTGCTACGGGCAACCTCAATCCCAAAAAAGTATCGCAAAAATCCAAGATCCTTCACATCGAAGGTCTTTCCAAGGTCTACCTTAACCTGCGTAGTCCCAGAAACATCATCTCTAGTAATAATAATATCATCAACATATATCAAAAAGATGACTCATTGTCCGGAAGTATTCTGTCGAATGAAACAGGTATGATCAAAATGACATCTGGTGAACCCTAAACGTATAAGTACATCACTAAAGTGAGAGAACCAAGGTCGTTGTGACTGTTTCAGTCCATAAAGAGACTTACGTAGTCGACAAACCTTTCCAGCATACTCCCCCTCACCACGAAAGTTCGATGGTGCATCCATATAAATAATCTCGACCAGATCATCGTGAAAAAATACATTCTTCACATCCAACTGATGAAGAGGTGAAGAGTATTCCGCAGCCAGAGAACTAATCAGTCGAACAGTAGTCAATTTTACCACGGGGGCAAAGATAGTACCAAAATCACGACCTGATACCTGAGTAAAGTCCTTCGCCACAAACCTAACCTTGTGACGATCAATAGTACCATCCGTAAGAAATTTCAGGGTGTAAACCCAACGACAGCCAACAGGCTTCACCCCTGAAGGTAAAGAGACAAGATCCCACGTATGATTACGCTAAAGAGTATCCATCTCTGTCTGTATGACAAGAACCCACTGGGGCTCCCGCATAGCCTCTGAAACAGAGCGAGGAACTGACGTATCTAATAAGGTCATACTATAAGCTCGAAATGTAGCAGACAGATCACCATAAGAAATATAAGCAGAGATCGGATATAAAATCCTGGCAGTCCAACCATAACGAACAACTGGACGACGATCATGCTGCGGATAACAACGCTCTAAATCATCATCCTCCACTAATAATGTCTCATCAGGTAAAACAACTGGCTCAGTACCTGCAATCTCATCAGTACTAACAACAGGCGCATCAATATGCTCAATGAACTGAGAAGTATTACCTGCATCGCCTGAGGTAGAGAGAACATCAGCAGGGGGATAAGAGCAAGGACGACGAACATAAACCTGCAAAGAAAGAGAGACTAGTGACTCTGTACTGACAGGGACGAGTGACTTTGGAGGAGGAGAGACCGATGACTCTGTAATGATAGTGACCAATGGCTCTGACTCCGATAGTAATGAAAAATCAAAGGGAGTATCATCAATTGGAGGGGCAGACACAAGACTGAAAGAAAAATAAGGAATATGCTCAAGGAAGGTAACATCTAGACTGTGATACATATGTCGCCTGACAGGATCATAACACCGATACCTCTTAGACTGATGACAATAGCTCACAAAGACACAACGAATCGCTTTATCATCAAGCTTATGACGAGTAGGAGACCGATCCTGAACAAAACATGGGCAGCCAAAAATACGAGGGGGTACCAAAAAAAAATGTCCGCTCAGGGAATAAGACTTATAAGGGAGCCCTATGCTGAAGAACACGACTCGGTGTACAATTGCACAAAAAGGTAGAAGTCAAATCAGCAAAATGCCAATAAGATTTTGGTACCCCCATACCTCTAAGCATATTACGTACCATCCCTATCAGACTCCTATTTTTTCTTTCAGCAACTCCATTTTGCTCAGGAGAATATGGATAAGTGAGCTGCTGAAAGATATCCTGAGAAAAAAGGTGAGACATTAAGGCATCAAACACATATTCTTTGGCATTATCTGAACGAAGAGCACGAACAATGACATCGAACTGTGTCTTAATCATTTGAAGAAATTGAATAATGACAGGGAGTACATCAGATTTTCTATGCAAAAGGTAGACCCAAGTACAACGGGTATGGTCATCTATAAATGTCACATAGTATCGGGCACCTGATAGAGCAGTAACAGGAAAGGGTCCCCAAATATCCGAGTGTATTAGGTCAAATGGTTTGGATGACTGGTGCATGCGAGGAATATAATTGGTCTGAACATGTTTTGATAGGGAATATATAACACGGTCAAGTTTACCACTAACACAAGCTTTGTTCAAAGCAGGAAATAACATACATAAATATTTAAAATTTGTATACCCAAAACGGTCATGCCACAACTGAACAGTTTGTGATGAAAAATCATAACGATAAGTATTAGATAAAATACTAGCATGTAAGCTAGGAACAGATAAAGACAAAACAGGTGATGGAGGTAGAGGTAGAGGTGGAGGTGGAGGTGGAGGTGGAGGTGGAGGGGGAGGTGGAGTTGGAGAAACTGGTGAAACGGGAGGTGGATTGCCTAAATAATACAATTCATCTCTCTCATGTCCCCTGATAATAATTCTCTTGGTACTCAGGTCCTGCAAATAACATAAATCAGATAAGAACACAACCGCACAGTAAAAATCTCTGGCTAACTGATGTACAGATAATAGATTCATGGCCAGCTTTGGCGCATGAAACACCGAACGTAATGTAAAACCATCTGGGAGGCGGACTGTACCCCTACTAACAATAGGGGTATGTGTACCATCTGCTAATTGAACTTGAGTATGTAACTGCTCGTCAAAAGAGGTGAAATGATGGGTCTCACCTGTCATATGACCATTAGCACCCGAGTCCAGTATCCAAAGAGGAGACGAACTAGCACAAGTATGAAAGACATGAGGTATACCTGTAGTAATGGCAGCAGTAGTAATCGAACCTTGAGAAGTCAAGGATGACATTAGTATATCCAAGCGAGAAGTGATAGCATCCATATCACTCCGCCAAGGAGGAGCAGTAGCAATAGTAGCAGGAGCAATGACTGTAGGTGGTGGTGCCATAGCAATGACAGCAGTATGGCTGCGAGGAAACGGCATAAGCTCCAAATGGAGCTTCTAACAAGTAGCCCTGAGATGTCCTCGTCGGTTACAATAATCACACTGACGAGAATCCCTATATCTACGCTGATGTGGGGTACCCTGACGACGTTGGGCTGAGCGCTGTCGACCCCTATACCCGGTGGAAATACTAACAAATGTCTCAATGGTAAGGATCTCAACTCCCTCAGTAGCAGTCATATCATCAATAATACTAGGGCACTCGTGACTGAAAAACAACTCTAAGATAAATAGATGGACAAAATAAGAGAGAACAATATACTTCCATTCGAACAGTAGCGACAGATAAAGAAGGTTCAGAAAGCTCTCAAATAATCGATGCCCAGAAATCCAATAAATATAAATAAGTGATCTACTGCATCAAGAGTATATCAACGGAGAAGAGGATTCAACCCCTCTTAAAACAGTCCTAGATATTGCAACCTGGCAACACTGTGACGAAGACTGCGAACAATGAAGTTACAACGAAAAAATGCGACCCGGCAGTGGGCTGAGTAGTGACCCAGCAGTATATGGCGTTTGGTTGAACAGTGGGCTGGTTTGGTATATGTTTAATGGACTGGGGCAACACTGGGTTCTGGTTTGGGTTGTTTGGGGTGCTGGTCGGTGCTAGCTATTTACTTTGTATATGTCGGTGCTGTTTAGAATGGTCGGTGCTACTGTTTAGTGTGTATATGGTTTGCTGGTAGAGGGAATAGAAGCAGTCAAATGGTTTTGTCCTAGTAGGCTGGTCTGGAGTTGAGTGGGTTTGTCGGCTGGTTGTTGGCTGGGTCTTAATGGGTATTGTTTGTCGGTGGCTGGTATGTGGGTTCTGTCAGTGGGGCTGCTTGATGGGGCTGCTGGGTTGATGCAGGCTGTGGACTTTGGGGGCAGTCTCAGTCGGTGCAGGTTGGGCTGTTTGGTTGTTTCGCCGGGTACTGTCGATCGGTTGGGTTGATGCAGGCTGTAGGTAGTTGTGGCAAGACTGCTGCTGATAGGCAGTCGGTGTAGCAGAGGCAGACGGTGGAGTGGAGTGGAGTGGAGGCTGTCGTCTCGCTGGTTGCGATGTTTGGTGGAGGCTAAGGTTAGAGTTAGGGTTAGGGTTGATGGCTCTGATACCAACTTGAAATATTTAGAAGAGAGAAAAGGAATACAAACTAAGTATAGAGCCCCCGTATATATAGCCAATGAAAATTATAATAAGGGTAAAAAGGTAAAAAGGGAAAACTTAATTAACCCTAATAAACTAAGTTGCTATATCTCCAACACAAAATGAACACAAATTCTGTAAGTAAGCTTATGCATATAACGAAACACACATGCAGACGCCACAAAATGTAAAGCTCAAAAGCATCATATCTGCAAAGACTAACTGTGAATGGCTTGTGACATTAGCAAATAGTTAAAGCTTGTATGGATGGTGGGAAATTCAGCAACAGACACAAGCATGCATTTGCATTTGTGATGCTGTCAAATGGGGTAAAAATCATAAACATAAATTAAGCACACCAATACCCAGCTGCAATGAGCATAAACCATGTCCTCGATGGTTTATTGTAAAGATAGTACAAGAAATGTCAAATGTACATGTACCCACAGGGAAGGAACAAGTTATATCAGAACCATAGAAATGGAATTCAGCTCCCATGTCAAGCAATGCCATGTCTCCATCTTGCAAACTCTGCACAGAAAGACAGATGACATTCATTTAGCAGGTTACAAAATACTTCTTCTGCTCGGATTATTGACCCACTTTAACCCTAGAATTTCTCCCGATAGCATTTGATACCATCTCTACTAGATCACACCATTCCACAGTTTCTCTAAATTACCGGGTTACATGAATCCCCAATTTCTACATTTTGTCTATGTCATGTACATGATAATAGACCCACTGGGCTAACATCAAAAGGGAGCCTGCCTCGCCTAAAAGTGGATGCTTTGAGTGAGCAAATATGTCACTGTACATTCTAAGATGGATATTGAACACACACAGAAACACAATAAGTAAAAATTACTGAGTAACGACACAACAGAAGTCCAAGCAAAACATAGAAGGAAACCCTTTCCTGATGCATGAAGCCACCCAAAATTTGTAAATTATATCAGGAGATAGAAGCATCAAGGCTATACCCTGTCATTTGGAGCTGCTGCATGACCGTAGTGGAGAACAGAACTGTTAATGAAAACACCAAAACTGTTAGCTGCTAATAATTACAGTGGAACTAAATTACAAAACAGTGTCGTTGTATCCCGATAACTGACAGTATTCCCAATTACACCATCGTCAGACCAAACTTTCCATTATAAGGCACCCAGAACAAGAGCATCAAAGAGTAGTGTCTTAAAACTGTTTTCCAAATGTGTCTGGAAATTGTAAGGAGTGTAATCAGTAAAAACCAGTGAAAAAGGCACCACCAGTGTAGCCTGCTTGGTTAGAGACCAAAGTGGGTATGTGTCAGGAGTTTGGTCCAGTATGTTCCATAATTTAGATGCTAAGCTAGCAGAAGTGCTTGCCCTACAATTAACAGTAGGGTACCTCTATTTCCTGGGCTAGGATAATGTAATACTTGAGAGTGACTTGAAAAGGGTGGTAAGAGATAGGCTAAAAGGGATATCTCTGGCTGAAACAAAGGTCCACCCTTCACAAACCATCTTGCTCAGCCCTAGAAATTGCCGAGAAAAAATATGGGGAGGTCCACCAAACTTGCAACTTTGCAGCACACCAGCTATCTGAATGGGCTCTTTACATCAGTTCTCATGAGACAGCCGCCCTTTTGATCTCCCTCACACATGATAGGTTTAATTGGGACAAATGAAAAACGAAAAATCACCTGTTTTCACCTGTAGCACAAATACATGTGTATGAACAATGCCGACAGCCACCATACATGTACGTGTGGTGCAGAAACATGCTTTCCAATTGATACTCTTTCATGCCAACTCTTGTTTTTCTCATAACCTACTCAAAAGAGACAATCAAAATTGAAGAATACCGCCATGTATCACATGACATGCCAGCTCAGAAACAAATAATTATTCATACAGGAAATAGAACAAGAAAGCATTTGCACTATTTTTAACGCATATATCAAGACAACATGCATAGAAAACATAGACAAAGAACTATAGAAAAAGAAATTGGCATTCAAAAAAAAGGCAAGCATAATGAGTTTCAGTCAACAAGTTCCTCAGAAGATTACGAATGCTTTATATTAGGAGTCATAATTCATATTAACTCCATAATAAAACAATGAACAAATAAATGCTTGGAATGATTTTTGGGGGGGTAACTAGCTGGGCATGACTTTTAATCATAGAGTATTTTGAGAAGAATACCACCTTGTTGGCTTAGAATACACTTCATCTCGTAACTTGTCCTCAATTAGTTGTGCCATGTGTTACAAAATCACCCTAACTGCACGATCTGTAGTACTAACAGTAACAACATTACTTCAAACTTCTACTAAGGAATTGTTGGGAATGGCACATTTTCACTTAAATATGAGATATAATACAAATATGAATCATATATTTTCAAATAATGTTTTCTTCAAGGTTCTTATATCCAAATTCACATATATTCTTCTAACATCACTAATGCTAATTAAGGAAGGCTGTCTTTCTTTCATAGAATAACATTCGTGAATGCATCTCACAAAGAAGATTAAGATGAAGGAAGATATATAAAATTTACAAGTAGGCTTCCACAGTTAAAATTCCAAGTTACATGAAGAGAAATTAATCGAAAGCCAACCTTCAAGGATAAAATGCAAAGATATACAATAAATAAAGTAAATTTAGGTAGTGAGACAGTTGAAGACCTCAATATGAGCTTCAGAGCTTATATCATTGGCAAACTGGATAAGAGAAAGCTCCAGATCTGACTTCAAAACACGACATTCTGTCAAAATAGGATGCAAGGTATTAAGATCTTTCTGAAACCCATCCAGCCCCTGAAAGATGTAAAAGATAACTGATCAACAATTTTCATTCGGAATATAAGAGCAATTTAAATATCTGTGCATCAAAACTTGAGGAAGTTGTTCAAACATCAGAGCATTAATACATGGAACTTAAAAAATTGCATTGCACATGAGAAGTAGCATAACTGAGAACTTTAAATTGTTCCACAATAGAGGAACTTCACGCCCACGATATCGTAGCTAGAATATGTAGTACTGTTGAGCAAGTCCCACCATCATTAAAGAGGTTCACACTCACAAGTGGATCATACACTTGCTAATTTCATAGGGATTAGAGATCCAACCTTAAGATGTCTTAATTTTAATCTGAATCGACTTTATAATTGCAGATATTAGTTCATTAAGTAATCACTTGGCCCCATCATTCATGGTTCTAGGTATCGGCCGAGTGCGATATGATAACGGTTCGCAAGTCGAAGAAATCTCAAAATGAACTAACATCGGCGATATCTCGGCCGAAATTAAAGGACTCGGTCACACCTCGATTGATTCGGCCGATTTTCATCCAAGTCATATCGATTTGGATGTGAATCGTTTGACCACACCAAGAAAACAGAGTGTGCCAAAAAAAAGGCAAAAGGGAAAACGTAGCAGAATTTTAACCCAATTGTTTTGAGCCCTAAATCATAACTTTTTGCCATTATGTAAACAGATCGAGTAAAGAAAAAATTAACAACACATACCCGTATAAGAAGACCCACAAAATCGAAGAATCACCTTGACCAGAGGGCCTCTTCTTCTTTTTCTTCTTCTTCTTCTTCTTCTTTCAGTGGAGACCCATCGCAAATCGTCAATCGTTCACTGTTCGCTTCGAGTCTTCAACTGAGCTCTCCCTCACTCTCACGTGACTGAGAGCCAAGTAAGGAAAAACACAGACACCCCTTTTTTTTCTTTTGATCACACGTGTGTGGTTATACTTTATTGCACTTTACTCCTTATGTATGAAAAATTCCTAATTCAATTAGTAAATTATTGGGAAAAAAAATTAGAAGAAAAAAAAATCAAATTAGGACAATGACTCATTAATCTATTAATTAAACACATAATTATTCATTTAAAATATTGAGATCTACTCGTACTTGTCAAATTTATAATTTATTGATACATATTTGTTGTTATTGTTTTTATTTTAATTTTTTTAAAAATTAGGTACTAATAAGTTAAAAAAAAATCTAATAACATATGTTCAAAGTTTAGTGTGTACTTAAATAAAAACATTCAACATAAATAATGATAAATATTTTCGGTAGCGTCTATATAATTCATTTTTATTATGTTTAATATGTTAAATAATGCATTTTTGGGATATAATGCATGAATGATGATATTTACATATTTTTTAAAAAAATTATGATTTTTTAAAAAAAATTTGGGTCCTCTATCTAGTGTTTTAAGCATATCGGCCGATACAACGCCTCGACCGATGTGTCTCAGTGCCCTCCTAGTCGATGACCGATACCGCGACTTTGAACCATGCCATCATTTGCACAGAATGTGATAAAGCTCTACCACTGTTGATCGAGCATCGCTTAGATTTCTCATATATTATATTTGTGCATCATCACCATGGAGAAGAGACGAAACTTGGAACAGCACATCTTAACTGACTCAAACTATAGTTCGTAGCCTAGTAACAAGAACAAAAGAGAAATGAAGTACGTAGTTGTCAAACTCAAGCAAGTATTAACTAGCCTTGTAAATTGTCACAACATCCTCTATTGAGCTTTAACATTTCAATGAGTATAAATCAATCACATATTAAATCAAATCATAGCTAAGCATTTGGCATCACATTATCAACGAACTTGAAGCTAAGCAGTGCATAAGCAGTAAACCAGACTCTATCGAGTATCAACAGACTAGAATTTGCAATCCATAAAAGAAAATGCAGCATGGCATTGCTAGCATCTGAAGGCATTAAAATGATATGATTTATAGAGAGAGAGAGAGATAATAGAAACCTCAAATTCAGCTGGTTTTGAGAAGTTATTGCTATCAGTGTTGAGCCCATGCAATAGAAACAAAAAGGGTTCTCCAGATCCCTGGTACTGGTTATGCAAAACTTTTAAAATCTCATCAGTATAGAATACCATGCTAACCAGGTATCTTTCCTGCAAAAAAATAAATAAATAAAAGATTAAATAATCACCTTAATTAATATGCATTGGATGTTGAAAAACAAGAAGCACAAACTTTCATGGTGCAATTACCTTAAAGTAGGATAATGGCTTTATTTCACCCAACCAAATAGCATAATCAGCAGATAATCTGGGAGCAAATAGCATAGATTTCCCGGTTGCTAAATCCTTCAACCAAGAAAATGAAAATTTTCGAATTTCCAATATTCCAAGAAGTGCTCAATCTAATTAATAAGCTGATCTATTATAAATTTATTTTAAAGGGTAAGCAAAGCATCATCGAATTTACAAAGAGACATTAAAATAACTGACATATGGCCTGTCAGTTTAAAAACAAATAAAGAGCTTCTATCAAGAGGGAAAATTCTACCAAAGACCCCACAAATTGCCTAGAGAGCATAATATGCTTCAATTCAACCTTTTCTTCAGTTTAGTGGCTAAGAGGCAACGAAACATAGATACTTCATTAAAGTCCATGTATCCATAACGGATACCGTATCGAATAAGATACTTGTCAGATGTTTTAGGATATATATCGGATGCACACCATATGTATTTGATAATTATAAAATATTTGGGTACTCCGCCAATACACATCCACAATTTATATGCTACGAATATTAAAAGTGTGTGTGCTGAGCAATATGTACGATTTTTATTTTTAAACTTCGTGTGTTGCTCTCAACTTTAAATATAATGAAACACAAAGAAAAAACCACAAAATTTTGAAGACACGTGGTTATTTTTTAAGTATTATCTACTATCACATGTCAGCAGAACATAAAATGTGTTAGTTACATCATACCTTTTAATTTGTTTAATTAGTTATGTTCACTTTATCAATATACCATAATGAGACGATTAATATTTTTTTGAAAATAAAAACTGCATTTCTTTTTTTGCATTATGGTTTAGTGAAAAACGTAAAATGCATTTTATATAAACGTATCCAAGGCGTATCCATATACTAGCTTTTTAAATATTGCCGTATGGCTATATCCATATCATATTGTATCTGTATCTCGTATCTATATTCAATGTTTCCCAGCTAAGAGGCACAAGAACCGAACCTTTGCAACAAATTTTGAAAAATTACATAATTGATGTTTTTCAGGTGAACAAGATACTTTATCTTAGTGTAAAACATAAATACCACTCAATGTCAAAGTCAACATCAACGAGCTAGAAATAATATATTATTTTTCCAGTACAACATCACACTGTTTTTCAAAACACAAAAGAATCGTCAGTGTTTCCATATTTACTAATAAGTTGCCTCTTTGTCACAGAACATTCAGTGCTTAATATGGTCAGGTGTAAGCAAAAATTACTTTAAGGATATAATGTAATATTTAATGGACAGAAACTTACAATAGCTCCATAGAACCCAGGCTCTTTCACTCCAAACAAGTAAGCAAAGTAGCTTTCCTGCCTGTAAATCATGTTAGCCACCAATTTGTAAGCCACTCAATCATCCTGTCATGCATATCAATGCTATCCAAAAACAGTTTGAAGTAGGACACACTACTACTAATACTATTATTATGATTATTATTAATTTGTACTGGCATTACTCTTATTATAAATACCACTATAACTTAGAAATACAGCTATCATCTATGAAAAGAAGAACCATGCAACATAAGCCACTTATGGCAATGAAGGAATGGTTTTCATCATTAGTATCCAATTAAATGTAGGGCTCCAAATATGATTGAGTTTCCAGGTCGTAACTAATTTCCAAATCCTTTTTTGAGCTTGCTTATATATTCCCATTTCCAACTGAAACTATACAACATAATCTAAATTCTAAACCAAAGAATGAGATTACTGCAGCAGTTGCTTTGCAATACTACGGATTGGTGATTGTGCAATTCATTGCGACCCAAAAAAATCAGCCAAACAAGAAGCAAATGTACAAAGCCACATTAGAGAATATTCAAGAAAGTGCATAGCTACAGAAAGAAGAGTGATCAAGTACCTAAAGAGCTCGATGTGATCCGTGCAATACCGAGTTTGCTCATCGCCACCCTAACAAAAATTAAATTTCAATCAATTCAATCAGAGTTTGGATTGAAGCAGCAATGGATAAAAAAGTGAACAGAGAGAGATTTACCTGAAGAAAGACGAAGCCCTGGAGAGGCAGAGAGGATAGAGAGAGGTGTTGACGTAGAGATTTGATGAGTTTCTCTCGATTGAGTACGTGAAGCTCCGTCGGCACCTCCGGAGGAGAGAGAGAAGATGGAGAATTAGATGCCATTGAAATGGGTTTGCTTCAATACGCAACTCTGAACACTGATACTAATAATAACTGAACCGAGATTCTATCTCAAAACGTCGTCGTGTGATAAAAGCGATACGCTCTTAATTTCTGATTTATGCTTCGCGAACGGTTGGAGATTAACATAACCCCCTCAGATTTTTAAATACTAACAATAATCTCGTGCTTAATTGGACGTGTTATATTTATATTTTAAATAATAATTTATTTATTTCATTTACATATTTTAAATTTAAAGTTAATTGAGATAAAAAAAAAAAAAAAAAAAAGATAAAGGTAGGTGTGGAATGATCTGAGCTTTTGGACCAACTTATGCAATAATTTTTTGAATTCAAAAAATATTATTTAGGCTGATTCAAGAAGTTAATTTTATTGGGAAGGTTTCGACCTTTTAGAGTTTTGTCGAGGATTCTACGTAACTTTTTACTTTATTATAATCATAAAATATTATTAATCACATAAAAAAATTGAAATGCATATTTTTAGAACTATTATGCATAATTTATACATACATGTAATTATTTTTTTATTTTGACACAAAAAAGACAAAAAGAGTTAGAAAGTCAACCCAAATAAAAATTTCCAACTTTTTAAAGAACACTTCAAACAATTATAGAAAACTTTTTTAACTCTAATTTTTTTATAAAATTTTTCAAACTATAAATTTTCACCTAAAAAATCTAGGAGAATTTGAAAATCGATACAAAAATTTAGACTTAATTGAGTTAGACTACATTAAAGAAACTTATTTGACCCTAAGTACATTTTCTTTGAAAAAATACTAAAGGATCATTTATTACGCTATTACCCCTCTCTCCATTACTTTCTCACTCTTTCTTGCTTGTGTTTCTTTCTATCTATATTTATATCTTACATTGATAATTTTTTTTTTTAAATATGTAAATATTTGATTTAATTTTTTCATCTATCTCTCATTTTTTCTCTCTCTCCTTATTTTTTCCTCTTTATATCCTTATATCGAAGTTACAACAACACAATTATATCAATCAGTTATACTAATTAGTTATAATTACCCTACAATACACTAAACAATTACTCATGTATTATAATAAACTAAACTGTTATACTAAATAATTACACAAAATTACAACACTAACTTAATTTGTCATTTAGTATCACGATATAGTTACACTAATTATATACACACAATTAAATTTATCATTACATAAAAAACTTTATCATTATACCAAAATTAGTGTATATAATTGGTGTAATTATGTCGTGATACTAAATGGTGCAATTCTTTAGTTTATGTAAATAACTAAATGACAAATTTGGTTAACGTCATAATTTTGTGAAATTGTTTGGTATAACTGTTTGGTTTATTATAATACATAAATAAATATTTGACATATTATAGGACAATTGTAAGTAATTGATGTCGTTGATTAGTGTAATTGTGTGTATTGTAACGTTGATATAAAAAGAGACAAAGATATAAAATAAGGAGAAAGAGTAATGATGAGAGAAAATAAGAGGAGAAAGTGAGAGAGATAGAGAAATAGGGGAGAGAGATGAAAAAATTAAATCAAATCTTTACATATTTGAAAAATAAAATAAATTATCAATGGGAGATAAAGAGAGAAAATAGAGGAGAGATAACGAGAATAAGAGAGAGAAAGAGAGAGAGAGATGAAGATAAAATAGGGAGAGATAGTGAGAGAGTAATGGTTAGAGAGGGAGAGAGAGATGGAGAGAAAATAAGAGAGAGATAGAGAGAATAAAAATTATGCATAATTTAAAGAATGGTAAGTAAGTAAAAAAATTCAAATATCATTTAAATTTTATACCTAATTACAAGATATTTTATTAAAATTAAACTTAATAAAATAAAATATTTATCCATATACTTCCTTTCAAATAAGTTTAAAAAAATATATTCTCATTCAAAAAACTCAAAAATCTACCCAAACGGCCCCTTGTTGGTTATGTTTTATAGATATTTATGTATCATAGTTGAGTTTGAGTATTCGCACAAGAGTAAAATTGTCCCATTAAAACATGAGTATCATAAGTTCAAATTATGAAAATTGTCGCTTTACTATAAGTTAAAACCGTGTATATCTTATATTTTTGCAAACTAGGTCGTCGCAAAAGGCTTGTGCAGTGGATTTTTTTTTTACGTATGATATATTGATATTATCTATGACACTTGGTCAACACTCCACGGGTGGGGTTGGGGCAGCCCAAAATAGGTTTTTCAGGCTCAAGCCTGTTGTGGGCTAGGTTTTTTGGGCCAGTCCTATGGCCCCTTAACAAGCCAATTAGTGGATTAGAGGGTTGAAACGATTTGGGGGTGGGGCAGCCCAAAATAGGTTTTCAGGCTCAAGCCTGTCATGGGCTAGATTATTTGGGCCAGTTCTATGGCCCCTTAACAAGCCAATTAGTGGATTGACACTATAGGCCCTAAACGAGTTTTTATTCTTCAAAATTTATATTTGTACATAATTTTAGAAAAAATAATTAAATTTAGGGAATTTTGTGGGTGGGTACATATTTATGAAAATATTCCTCTAAAAGTCCATCGTCCAAACTTTTAAGTTATGAAGTACCGTCTACAAAGCATTTTGTTACCAAGTACATTTTTTCAAATTTGAATATTTTTGTAGTACCTAAATGTCATTTACCTGTTTTATGCAATATTTAGTAGTTTCCTTTTTTTTTTTTTTAAAGATTCTGTTTATATTGATTGATCAAGTTTCCTATTTTAATGGGCAAGTTAGAGTTTGAATTTTAAAAAGATTTCATAAATATATTTTGCCAGTTATTATTTTTAATATATATTAATTCAAGCTGTAATATTACTTTTACATGTCTTGTAAATTTCAAATCCCGTTTTGTTAAACAGCCACCGATACCTCCATTTTTTTGTTCTTCAAAAAGAGGTTTCATCAATTGTACAATACCTGAATTTTTTTTTCTATTTTTAATTACACAATGAATTCATGTAAAATATGTTTATATAATTATTTCAAGGACCATTTCTTAAACTTCTTCAATTTATAAGACTAAAGATTACCCAAAAAAAACGTATATTGAGTTTTTTGTTTTTTATTCTTCAATTAATTATGTATTCAACTCTATGAATGTTGTTCCGAAACTTTTCACTTATAATTTATGGTTATATAAATTGCATATGCTTTTCATCTGTCATATTTTTGTCAATGGTGTTGTATGTAATGATTTTTTTTTTCTAACTATGAAAACAATGACAGGAAGAACAATGGATGATACCATGATGATGGTATGCAGGTATGGTCAGGGCCGGCCCTAGGCCTAGGCCACTTAGTTGGCCGCCTAGGACCCCCAATTTTTGCAAAATTTTGGGGCCTTTATTAAGAATTTTAGATATGGGCATATATATATTTTGGATAGGCTGGTTTGAGACTTGAGAGGGCCCAAATTTATTGATAAGCCCATTAACTCTTCAATAACTTACCTAGAAAATTGCTCCCGGCTGTAAACTGTTAGACTTCTACAAAAAAAAAAAGATAATATCTCACTCTCTCTCTCCTGTTAAACTGTTAAACTTCTACATTAACGACAATTTTTTTTTTTTGTTCAGGATTTAACGCCACTCCCTCTCTCTGTGCATGAAAAGTTTGAATCTGAAGTTCTGAACAAAGAACACCAAATTCAATTCGCTCATGTGCATTTTACTATATTATATTTATCTAAAAGATAGCTGGAAGTGGAAGGCTGGGCTGCCTTTTGCTGCTACAACAAAAGTTCTGCTTTTTCCTTTGCCTCGAATGTTGTTGCCAATTGCTACAAAAGGAAAGGATCATCAATCCTTGTTGCCAACAGGTTGTGTTGTTCTTGAACTTTTATTTTAGTTTAATTTAATTTTTATAAATTTTGTGCTATAATTTTTCATTGTAGTAACAACAAGTTATATAATTAGTATGTCTACTCGAAAATATGATTCTGGATGTGAAAAACGTAAAAAGAAAAGAAAACAAGATGAAATTATTGAATCTCAAAAAGGAGCACTCGATAAATTTGTTATTAGTGATGAACCAACAACAACAAAAAATTCAAATGATGATTCAACGATTGAACTATTAGATAATATAGCAAAATCAAATGAATGACAAAAAGATTTAAAAGAAAATGAAATTGGTAAAGAATGTGAACTTGTTAGTAAAGTAGGAAATGATAAAAAATGTGAATATGTTAGTGAATTATTAGATTATGTTCCAATAAATATCTATGATCCAGGACAATGGAAAAATATTGATACAAAATTAAGAGACTTATTAGTTGAAAGAGGTCCTATTAGGGAAAATGATGTAGACTTTCTTAATGATGAAAATAATAGACATTTTTCTATTACATATTACACTTGAAAATTGTCAAATGGAGAAAAGCATGATAGAAATGGTTAATATATTCAAAAGATTTAGATAAAGTATATTGCTTTTGTTGTAAGTTATTCAATTCAAAACCTAGTACAAGTCAATTAGTTAATGAAGGAACTAAAGATTAGAAAAATCTTAGTTATAAGCTCAAAACTCATGAAACAACTAATGAGCATATCACTAACATGAATTCATGGGTTGATTTAGAAATAAGATTGTCAAAAAATAAAACTATTGATGAAAATATTCAAGAACAAATTAACAAAGAAAAAGATTATTGGAAAAAAGTATTTGTAAGAATTTTAGCTGTAGTAAAAACTCTTGCTAAAAATAATTTGGCATTTCGTGGGAAGAATGAGAAAATATATCAAGACAACAATGAAAACTTTTTAAGTTTAATTGAAATGATTGCAGAATTTGATCAAATAATGCAAGAACATGTTCGACGAATTAAAGATGGTGAAATTCATAATCATTATCTCGGACATAAGATACAAAATGAATTAATACAAATGTTAGCCTCTGAAATTAAAAGTGTAATCATTAATAAGATTAAAGAAGCAAAATATTTTTCAATAATACTTGATTGTACTCCTG